TAAGTATTTACCCTGAACACTATCAGACAGTTTCTAAAATTTTCCTTATCCTGTTGCAAAAACACTTCAAAGAGAATCATAAACACAGTCCTTTGTGCTTTCAGCACACACTTTGTTTTGGAAGCTTAAGTCTGAATTCCCTCAGAATTGTAAATATTTTTTCTTTCTCAAAGATGTGTAGTGCAACTTTACTTTTTTTTTTTTTTTTTTTTAAAGAAAAAGACTGGTAGTGATTCTGCTACACACTGCTGAATCCGTTCTCTCATTTTTGACAGCTAAAAATAGTGAGGTCAAGGAAATTAGTGCCAAATTAAAAAAAAAAAAAAAAAAAAAAAAGAGAGAGAAAATAAAACCCAAGTCTTCAAGATCAGGTTTTGTCGTTGTTGCCGTTGAAAATAAAAGGTACATTTCTAGAAACATCTGACTCCTAGTTTACCCAAAATATAACCTGCCAAAAATACATTTATTTAAAAGGTCTGGCCTAAACAGATAAGAAGAGCCCCAAAAGACAAGAAATATGGCTAAAATTTGGGTCTTTGAGATGCCATGTTGTGCCTACATTTCACAGCTCATTAGGCAAATAGGATCACCCATCACTGCAAGGCCCTCCAATAAAGGCTGTGAGGCTGCACTAGCTAAGCACAAGGGGAAAGCTAAATAGAAATGGAAACAAATCAAAATAGTACCACAGAATTTCTTGAATTTTGGCTGACAAAAGTCAAACCAATTCAAATGTCAGTTAAGTTGCTCTGCATTGTCTGAAAAAAGCTAAACCACCAACCAGCCTGTTTGTGATGGCATTATCTTTATTAAAAAAAAATTAAAAAATTTAAAAAAAAAAATAAAAAATTGTTATCTGTTTAAAGTGCCAAAGTCTACAAAAGCTAGCAGAATTCCTTTTAAAAGCATATTTTCACTTATAGCTTTTCATGGTCATTCTGGAATTGCAATACTGTGATTATTTAAACAAATATTTAAACCCTTGTTTTAATTTGGAGAAAAAGAAAAAACAAACATAAACACATTATGGCCCTGGGCTGAGATTTTGTAGCACAAGTTTCAGCCTAGACTCAATCTGGTCAGGCTGTAAGCCTCTGAAATAGTGGCTTGTAGCTGCAACTACTACATACTTTATATGTAGCAATAGTAGCAAATAATGAAATATACCTCAAAAAGCAAAGAAAAATAACTATACAAGAAAACAGTCTGGCTCTGATTTCAAGCTAGTTGTCTAAACTAATAAAATCATGATTTTGAGAATACCAGTAATAAGAACTTGAGTATTAAATACAGTTTTTATGTGTTTTACAAATCAAGATGCAAGCATTGCAGAAAGATATCAGTTTGCATGAAATGTCACGTTGCTCATCCCCACTATCCAGAGCGTGCACAATTCTGCTTTTACACTACATTTATAAATTAAAACGTGTGCTGCACTTCATTACCATTAGCTGTATCTTAGGATGCCAAGAAGTGAAACAAACGGTGTAACAATTACTTGTGTTTCAGTTATACCATTTAAATCATCTCTCAGAGATCTATGTTTCATTCCTTTAAGACCTAGGGAAACAGTCATGCTGTTAAATATAACTGCAAATCAGTCATACTTTTCTCTACATTTTAGTTCTACAATTTTTTCCATCTTGCCAAATTCCTGCATAAATAGGTAAGATTAAATGGAGCCTAGCCTACCTAACTTAACTATATATGTTGTGATTTTATACTGCAATGAAACTGATACATTTTAATAATCTCAGTCTTGGCTCTTACCCACTAAAGTCAATAAAGGTTATTAAGGCCAACTGCCATATAAATACATTGCTACATTGCTAAATGGACTGTCAAAGCAGGAAATACAATTCACACCATATAGCACTACTAGGATCTTCATTTATTTTATTTTTTAAGGGAGCACTAGATAATGTTAGAAGTCTTTAAAGACTCAATATTTAAGTATACTCATATATATTTAAATTTCATTCCACAAACAAAAAATACTCCATTGATTTATACTCTACTTATTCAAATGTGAATCAGCCTAAAACAAAAATAAACAAACAAAAAAAAAAGGTCTGTAGGACTTCTGCAGTTCTTACAGATTTGGCATGGTGTTAAAAGATTTTCATAGCTAAAATAAATGTCAGATTGCAAGCTTTGCATGATATCAGACCCTGAGAGACAAATTGTCTCTCCACTGAATCTCAGAACAGCTACAGCAAGACTTCCTCACATGAGATTTCAGCTTTTCAGACTTCTCTTTACCCAGAAAGCAAAGCTTGTACCGTCTTTTTTCAAATGGTAACTCTGCCTTTGAATTCAGCAAGCATTTATCCTGATGTTGCAGACGATAACGTGTTAATCTTGGATGACTTTTAAAAAAAACCCTCAAACATTTGAATAGCCTTCATATTTTCAAGGGAGGGGGGAAAAAGAGAAGAAGATTGGTTAAACTGCTTTAGATTTAATGGTTCATAAATTCATGAGGTAATATTGTGGGAAATGTGATGTTTTATCAGAATGTCATTCAAATGAAAGGTTTAACATTTACATCACAAGAGCAAGCTCTAAGTAAAACTATCCTCAGGGAAAGAAATGCCAGGAACAAACATTATGATAAAATTGTGTGCTTGCTATAATGTACAAAAATATTAAATAAAGCCCAAAGGTTTGAAGACATCGCATTAAACTTCCTGAAGTATCATACGCTGCTCTGACATTGGACTAACTGCAATTAGCCGAATCAGAAATTATTTCAGAAACTTTCTTTTCTTCTTTATAGCTGCTTTATTAAATAAAAAAAAAGGCATGGAGGGACCTCAAGGTCTTTTATATTACTCTAGATTACTGACTTTCATATTACTCTAGATTAGACACACATATATATATATAAAAGTCAGGAGCCATTCAGCTTGTACACAAAAGTAAGAAAAAACATATTGTTTAAGGATTTTCTTTTAAGTAATAATTCTTTTTAAGTACCAACATTCTTCTGAGACAAGATCAACAATTCTAAGACATTTTTATTTTTAGCATTTTAAGACAATTTTATTTTTTTTAAAGAATCATCCAGCTCAAATTACAAATTTGGAGGAAAAACATTGCCTGTAGACTATTGCGTACCTTCAGAAATACCTTTTTGATTTAACTTAATACTGTGGAAGCTGAGCATGCACCAAAACACTGCACTTTTTATGTTAAATTGCTGTTGAATTTGTTAACCCGCAATTGATTTCCTGTGTTATGGAATCTTAGAGATTACAGCTAACTTGAAGCAACAGGGATAATTCTTGATGTTAATGCTGCATTTCTATGTGTTTTTATGAAGTCAGTGCCTGTCGTTGCGTTAAAACCGCGGCTCAACATTGCCCCCTACTGTCATTTTGTGAAACACTAAAGGACAAAATGTAGGTTAAATCCACCAAAAACCACCCACCCTACCTCCAAATCCTGAATACAGTAAGCACCAAATTTATTTAGGGACTCAACAAAACAGACATTCGCAATTAACATTCTCTCCTGTCTCCTTCAATTGCTGAAATTAATTGTGATTAATATAAGTCATAAAACATTAAAGCAATTTTAAAAATTTAAATTAGAAGCAGCTTCTGTCTTGGCCCAACCTTCAGTTTGCTGATAAATATCATGGTGAAGCCTGTTGAAAGGAGATACACTGACGCCACCACGTTTCTAATTAGAGACACATGGTAATGTCACACCAACTGCAGAAAACCTAACCCCTGAGAATTCCTGAGTTTGTTGTTTTGCTATGTTCTCAATACACAATGGATATAAACTAACAATCAAACATTCTTGTCTCTACCTCATCTAAGCCTGTGTTATAAAGAGTAAGTTGTCATTTGAAAGAAAAACAAACCAAAAGATTTTTTTTTTTTAATTATAAAGGTCGCTCTAAGAACACAAAAAATGAGGAAAAAAACCCACATAAACAAGTTATAAATTATTTCTCTCCTTTTGTAGGAAAGTTTCATGTTCACTGATACTTTGTGGCAACTGATTTCGCAAATCAAGTTCTTCTGTTTTCCAAGAAAACCAGCCAGTGCTGGAAATGCTTCCAATGACTGAGCAGGTTAGGGAGTCACAATATGTCCCTCCAAACTCAAGAGCATATTCCTGTTGTACCATACTTCCAGAGATTCACAAACACCTCTACACCAAATCATATTCTGCATCCTCCATTACATTACAAACTTTTCCACGTCAGCTGTGAGTAAATTGAGTTTTATGCTGTGACCAGAAGAAATGTCTGAAAAGAAGCTTCTAATGCAGACAGAAGGATATGAGTAAGACACGTTTGTCAATATAGTTCCTTCTGTGTACAAATCTGAGAGCAGGCACGCTGGAATTGTATCAAACACTTACACTAGCAAAGTCTCCCAGCAGAGTCTCTACTTGGACAGCAACAGCGAGCAGGCTGAGAGTGCCTGACACCCAGTCTGCTTCCCGAGAATGCAGGGATATGCTTTCAAGCATACAAGCACCAACATCACTACTATTATTCAAGAGACCACCCACCACTTCTTGGTACCAGCCATGGTGTTACACATGCAGGTGGCCTACAGACAGTTAACCTCCAGATCATCAGATTTTACTTTCAACTGTCCTCAGATGCATTTGCTGTTGTTGTCAACAGAAGAGTTGTTTATCCTGATGTTGTACAAAAACACAGGCAACACACTGTTTCGTGCACCAGTTGGTGCGATGTAATGTATGGCTGTCACCTTATGAGGCTGTGAAACTTTAAAAACAAGTAAAGTCAGGAAATAATTAAAATCTTGGTGTTTTGGATCTTACTCTGCTCACATTTTTCTGGCTACTGAGGAGAAATATAGGAGGTGGCAGTGGAAGGATGACATTGATTCTACTTGTCATATGTTCTGAATAAAGTTTAAAACCCATTACTACAGTACAATTAAAAACATAATTGTGAGTGCTCTCAGAATTAAGAACTAGAGGCTTTAGACTATAAAAGTAGTACTTACCATAATCTCCATTTTTCTCCAGAATTCTTCCAATTTAGCCATAGGCTTAAGCCACCAATCAGTGCACTTCAAATACCGCTTGCCCTGAAACCAGAACTGCCTAAGCCACTCAAATTCAACCTGCAAGATAAAAGCATATGGCAGTATAAACATCTATGTTTATTATTTGGGGCAGGAACAGGGTATTGCATGAATCCAGCAATACCTGAAGAGCTTCATAGAAAAAGAGAAGGTTACCAATGTACTCATTTCTACAGGCACCCTTACAGCCACATGTTTATTTTCTTTCTAGTCCACACGAACTGGTCATCTGAGTTACTCTTAAAACCTAGAGAGGTGCAACGCCCACGTGGTACATGTACATCTTTACACATGGTACATGTACAAAGAATATTAGAAGGTTGGGTTTACTTACAATTCAGTCAAACGTACCAACTCTGGATTATTTTGATCAACATCGTGGGTTTCAAACTATTTCAGTCATATGAAAGGGGGAGGTCCTGGCTGCTTGAGCTCCCCATGCTGGGCCCACCCTCACACCAATCCCACACAGCTCAGCAACTTCCATGTCCCAGGGAATCAAAACAGCTTTTGGGGGCTTCTGAAGCAACAGAGTTTTCTAGGACAGAGCTTGTGTGGAAACTGCTTTACAAAGAAAACAAGTCCACCACAGAAACAATAAAAAAATTCCATCAGGCACAAGCCAATACTTTTCTTTAGAACATGAAACACAGTAAATGATGCAATGCTTCACTAGTCGTGTTTTTGTTTTTTTAAAAATCATATATTGGATGGTCCATCAACTTTCAGATAAAAGAGATATTAGCTTACTAAAACATAATATAAATATATAGCTCATCAAATATTCTTTAAGCAAAATAATTCCATTTATTCTAATTTCCACTGAGCCTTTTTTCCTTTAATGGTAACCCATAGTTCTGGTCTTTAGAATTCTGTATTTATCTTTGTTGTGGTAGTTATGTTTCACACTGAGTTCAAAGATGCTTTAATCATTATTTATACCACAAAGAAGTTTTTGTTTATCCCTGCTCAGCTCCAGTGATGCAAACAAAAACAACCTGCCAAGGTGAAAGAATAAAGAAAACTGCCCCATGTTGTCACCTAACAATTTCTTCCCTGCAAGGGTGAACAAAACAGCTACAGAAAACTCAAAGGGTTCTAGTTAACATTAACTAAATGTTCTGTCAATGTATGTTAAAGTGTAATCTTTAACATACTTATAAAAGTATTTTATATGTATCTTAACATACATATAAAAGATACTTAAATTTGAGATGTATAAAGAATATTAAAGAACCCTTGTTGTAAAACATAATATGATGAGTTAGCAGACTTTCAACATTTTAAAAAGACCTGACTTCTAGCCTAGTAACTTTTAGCAGAGAAGTTTGATGACAACCTTCCTAAAAAAAGCTGAAAGAAAATTTGCTTCATTCAGATCGGAGCTTCTTAAAAATCAGTGTGCAGAGCTTTGGGAATGCTGAGCATATCAACAGTTCAACTAGAGTTTTAAGTACTCAATACTTTTTTTTTCTCCCCACACTTTTCTGTTTTTCCTGGCCTACACCATGGAAGGGCTATAACACATGATGTCTGACAAATATGTTTCATGAAATTAATCATGTGAGACCATTAATTTTTTTTTAAGACATTGAAATCAAGGTTACAATAGGGTTCAGCACAACAAGAATCTATTTCAATCTGATTTTTGACTAGTCATTTTGATTTAATCTTCCTTAATCCCAATTATGTAATTTCAATCTAATTCAAGTCTGGCATCTTGGCCCTACACAGAACATACAACTCGACAGAGAAAAGCTGCTTTTTAGGTGCAAGAGGTGAAGGTTAGCAAGAGGCTAGTTAATTCTGTGCAGGATTAGCTGGTCTCATCAGAGGTCAGTGTACCAAATAGCAACATGCTGTTGTTTAAAGACCATTTACTATGGGTCTCAAACTCAGGTCCACATTCATCTCACAATGTCTCCACATAACTCTAGAATGAGTTAATAAAATGGGGTTCAGGGAGAAAAAAAAAAAAAGGTTTCATCCACCACCTTAGCCATCACGGTACCTGACAAATGAGTATTCTGAACTACCCCCTCAAAACAGATAACTGTTGATTTGGGGAGGGGGGAGGGGGAAATCTTTATGAGGCAATGGTGACATGATTTCTCTATCACTCTATCCTTGTTTTAGATATATGCAAGGATGCCGTTTTCCTAAAAAATCTCCAGAGATTCCACTTATGCTAAGTTTGTTTGGTATTCAGCATTACCTGAAACAATGATTAAAGGCCAATGTTAGGTTATAGTCAATACTGGGTAGTAAAAGGCCAACAGCAGCATTTGACATCTTGTGAGGCAGTGCTCCTCAGTCAATTATTTAAAAGTATTGGTTATTAAATGCCACACACGTAGATGATCTATATTTTCTCTCTGCCACACTAGCCAGCCACCAGCCATGCTGTCAGCTCCCCATGATGTACTAAAATGTATTAACCTTCCTTTGGCTGTGTACACCACTGCCCTTTCTCAGCAGTGACCTCAGTGTCTAACACCATATACCTTTAACTTAGCTAGCCCAGGCTCTTCCACATCCCTGTGCATTCACCACCCTTAAATTTATCTACTTGTGCCATAAAAATAGATTTGCTGTAGGCAAAAGAGACTGTACCTCCAAAGCACCAGAGCAAACAATTCAGTCTCCATATCTAACCACGGCAGTCAAGACTTGGTAATCACAGCTGAGCAAAAACGCCGACAAAGACAAAAGCCTACCCTTTCAAAGCTGTTTCATTTTCAACATAGCACTCAGATGCTAAGGAAACTTCCCCTAGTGTCTAGTATTTTATGTCATAGAGAATACCAGATTATTATTTTGGTGTTGGCAAATAATGAAGCCTTGAAACTACCTCACGTAACATGAACTATTACCAGAGTGAGGAAAACAAATTTTCTTTGAGCTGTGAAGAATAGACTGGCAATAATCTTTTCTGCAGATTTATTTTTATATGTATGAGCATTTACATCATCTGTCCAGCAGTGTTTTATTACTTTAAAAAGCATTTACTTGACAATGGGTTTCCCCAGGTCCCCTGTAGCTCTGTTTGGGACATACCCAGCCACTGTATACATTTTAGAAAGGCAAATGTGACTCAGTAGGGGCAAGAGGTTCACATTCAGTGAACGATGCAGTATAATTTATTTCAGGATAAATGATTACTGGCCAAACAGCATTCTGACTGCTTAAAGGGCTAACTTCCACCTCCAGCACTGTGTGTGCACTGTTAGGCTATTGTACTTCACAGCCCTCCAGGTAATCACTTCTGCTCACCCTGCTGCACTCTGGTCACTGGACACCCTGCCACGGAAGTATTTGTTCAGACTTCAAGCCCATAAGCTACTCAGACAATCAGGATGTGACCACCTTTAGTTATGATTATCTTTACTTAAAACTACAAAGGACACGTTGGGAGTGATTTGCACATCTAACAAGTAGCATATACCTCACAATTATTCAGATATTCTTCCTTTGAAGGCTCTTTTAGTGAGGGAGACCACAACAACAAAGGTAAGTCTAAAGAAATATTAAACTTCTAGCTGGCTGCCTGTTAGAGGTGGCAAAAATCTCCTCAGGTTAGCATCTTACTTTATCCACAGGCATACCTCCATCAAGACATTCAAGACAGGGCTCTGAGAAATGAACTTGGGGAAACCCAACATGAGGGAAGACATCCCCAGAGATTCACCGATACCTCTTTTAGAGGTTTCTCTGGCCATCACAGAAATGGAGAAAACTAACTCTCCACTCATGCTTCAGTCTCCAGTTCAAACTCAGTTTATCAGCACAGCAAGTTAATTTTCCTGCCCAGGAAAAGAAAAGTGAAGGCACATACTCATACCTCCTTATTCCTTCAGACTTGCTCTTAGGCTTTTCCCCTCTAGCAGACAGATAATTCATCCAGGCCTCATTTGGCAAAGCAGTTAATTGCAGCACAGACTGTGAATCTATGCTGAACTACTATATTTTAGCTTAGTCACACAGTGCCTGATGGTACTGTGATGGTTCTGTTCCAGTTAATGATCTCTGATGATTACTTCAGAGGTACAGCAAAACGGGTAAAGAAACCAAACCTCTAGAGTTTCAGAAAGAATCCAGCACAATGGCTGCATCTAGTTATCTAAGTTGAATACTGTGCAGAACTTCACCTATGATAATATTTGGCTTTTTGTGCAATGTGGTATTATATATTTATTACTACTATAAAACTACAAAGAGACAACAACCAGTGACCAAATCCTGACCACGCCAATTAAATGGAAGACTCATTTTCATCAGTAAACTGATCATTTAAAGAAACAAACCACGTTCTTGTTGCTTCACTTGCCTGAGAAAATTTAAACATAAAACCTGTATTTTATGTTAGTGGCCTGAAAACACATTTATTATACAGTAAGTAAAAGAAGGTAGGGAGCTTTTATATGCAAAAAAGTTGCATTAGCCCCACAGATCTGTATGTTTTCACTTCAGTGATGTTTCAAAAAGAAAGGTGAATTTACCCCAGTGATAAGCCACTAATAATTTTGTCTACTTATGCAGCAAGATAATGAAATTTGAGCAGCACTTCAACATCCAGAATTTATCCTCTAATTGAAGAGTTGGCCTTAGGATAAAAAAAAAAAATAAAGATAAGAGAAAAAAAAAGGTAAGCAGGCCTTCTCTTTTCAAATGAAATAAAGATCCGATGTGTCCACTGAGTCTAAGTGCACCATACGTACAAGTTAAACAATGATTTCTGTTACAGCATATCCCATATGCGTAACAGGAAACATCCCTGTGTGTCACACAGCAAAATTATCCAGGTGACTGCAAACACCAGGGGCTAGTCTCTCACCTGATGTAAACGGCACATGCCTTTGATGTTAAAGGACCCGTGCAAATTTACACCAGCTGGGCATGTGGCCCTAGCTGGGCAAACCACATATGCATGTAGTTTTATGGACTGAGCCTGATTAATGTTTTGCAAAAGCCTGCATGCATCAGACCTCTTTAAATTGCTCTTGGAGCTGTTTTGCTAAAAGTCAAGGGTGTAAATCTTTTGCCATCGCTATACTCAATTTTACCAACTGTAAGCACAATACAGATAAAAATGTGCTCTATAAAGTTTTAGTAACAATACAGAGTATTCCTCAGCAGCTGGCAATTTAAACAGTTTTCACAGATTCCAAATTGAGTGAAAATTACCTGTGTACTATAAAGCTTGTAATATTGATCATACTTAGTAGAAAAGCAGCAGAGCTTCTTCAAAATGTCTGAATATAGAAGCACTGTAAAAAAAAAAAAAACACTGATACTTAAGCAAAAATTGGTTCAGAACTTTGTATTAACTGGTTGCTATAGGTGTTTTTGAAGAGAATTGATCATCAGTGCTTTACAGTCAGGAACAGCCGAAAGCTTTGTTTCAGGTGGAAGGACAGCTTTCCAGAGCACCTAAACAATCTGGCATTTTAAACTCCTAACCCATACCCTTGACTACATTTCCTGTAACTTAAAAAGAAAAAAAAAAAAAACAAACACTACAACATTTACCTTCTTCAGAAACACCACCGTTGGAGGAAGACTCAGTCCACTGAATCACATTCCTGATCCTACCCACTAACAGAGAATAAGCCAAATTACACTTTTTGTGATCCTGCCTCCTTTTATACAGGAAAAAAATTACTTTTTCCACAGTTTCACAATATTGTCTGAAATTTTCAGTGCACTTGTCAAATCCATGTGTTTAAGACTCCAGATCTGTTCCTCACACAAGAAAGCACTTCAGTGGAATTCTATGAAAAAACATTGTTATGCTTGCATATTTTGCAGTCCAGAAAAACCTGCTTAAGTATGCTCCTCACAATTATTTCCACTGTATTTTCTTCAATACTTTAAAGCACATACTCATGATTATGTCACACCTGGCATTCTGTAAAAAACTGCTTCAACACCTGGCAAACAACTGAAAAATTTTACCTGCTCCTTCCCTCTGATTTTCCTCTCTCCCTCTTTGTTAGAGAAGTGCAAGAGTCATTTTGTTTGTCCACCACACTATCAGATTTCACATAATATTACTGAAACTACTCTTTTACTCTACCAGCAGAGGGATTTTAAGAAGGAAAAATTAAAACTTCATGGGAATGAAAGAATCAAAGTTAATCCCAATTACTGTACCCACGTAAAAAAGTCATAAAAAACACATTTCAAACTTAAATAGAGCAATGCCTTGGGAGTAGCTGAACACACCTGATTTCCACTAACTCCGTGAACAGGTTGCACCTCTTAGAACCTAAAGTACTTTCATTTCAGATCATCTCACCTCATTATGTATTTCTTCTACTTGCTTTACAACTGCAGTTTCCAGTGATTTCAAAGATAAAGCCACTGAATCAGAATCAGTCTGTAAATTCTGGAGTGCCAATTCACATCGCCCAAATATGTATTCCAATGTTCCTCTTGCACACTATAAAGATATAATAAAAAAATTTATATGTAACCACTTTGGAACACATGTATTTTTCGCATATACTGAAGTATTTGCTTCTGAAATAATAAAAGTGAAGGAGCAGAAGGGATGTATTTCTGTAACTTTGTATCATGATCTTTTAAGCAAAAGTGTAATGCCTCCTGGATTGTCTACATAGTTATTGAGATAAATTATGCAGCAGTCTAACCCATCAAACACCTAGCCAACTAGCACAGCATAGATTGAAAGGAGAGAGGCTCTATACGCCCAGTTGTATGGGCTCCTTGCAACACTAAAATGGAGTTCCATGTCCCATCTGAGAGAGCTGTTTGCTTACAAGCCATAGGGAATACGAACAAAACAATTCTGTACTTCTGTTCCTTTTCTTTTCATTAATTCTCCTTCAAAATTAGAAGGAAAACTGTAAAAATCCTTCTGAAATGAAAGAAAGATGACATCTATACCCTTCAATTATTTTCAGTTAAGTATCTGTACCTTTAGTTAAATTTCGGGGAATAATCTTGAATAAGGGGCCTCTGGTCTCATATTCTTTGTAAAAAATTTCCATACTATACAACTTGAAACCACAACAGTTTACCAAAAGAAAGCATAATCACTTAATAGAGAAGCTTTTCATACTGTAAAAACAAGTGTGCATTTTCCTGCAAAAGTATGACAGAGAAAGGAGTAGGAGGTCAGAGAACTCTTAAAATAAGAGATGAAAAATACAAAATTATTTGCACTGAGATGTACAGAGTACGTTATGTTAAAGCCCCACTCAAGCAGGCAGATTGTTTTTGTTTTGAGAAATAAAGGCACTTTCTCATGTTGCAACTTATGGATATGTTTGGGGCTATTGCTTCATTTCCATTCCTGCACAAATTAGGAAGGTTAATGATAAAAAGAAAAAAGTATATGGACACATATATTTCTCTTGATTCAATAGTGTTATATTTTGCCTTGCTTAAAGAAGGAAGTGGTTATTTTAAATGTTTTAGAACAAATTTTTACAAAACAGCCTTATTATTTTCTGTATGCTTTCCCACTAGAATATTACATAAGCGAAACTACTGATAATACCATGAAAAGGAATAGGGAGGACAGGTCTAGTGAAAAATAAAAAGATGTCTTGGTACTTGAGACTATCAGGCTGAAGCCTTGTTACCTCAAAATGACTCTGAGACAAGGGATTCTGTATCACTTCTCTGCTTCTTCAATCCTCAGATGCATGGAAAAGCATAATCCTGACTGCTCTTAGTTGTTCTGACCTCCTAAAGGCCAGTTTTGCCAGTGGACATTGCTGACAGTTGTGTTTTGAGTATTTCTATCTCATTATGAATACTGCCTTTCAACTAGGAATGGGATATGAACATAGCAAAAAAGTTTTAAAACATTTCAGGTAAAAATACAGTTGTTTCTACATTTCCTCAGTAATCCATGAGGTGTGGTGTAGCACATTCTCAATTCATATCTCATATGCCTAAGTGTACCTCAGTCCAAAAATTGAGCAGTTGTTCAAGAAAACATTTTGAGTCTTAATCATAACTGAAGCACAGTTCTGGATAAAACAACATAATGCTACTTATCCAGTACTGGAATATTAGCTTTACAAATTACCAAACAACAAACCATTTTGGATACTTACATCTGCCACTCGGTGAGTTGAACTGAATCGAGGTGGAAAACCAGCCAGAACACAGTGCTGATGTGTCATGTTGAGATCATCTGGGGACAAATTAGAAAACATTAAGTACAGGGAAAAACTGTACTTAATAAAACTCATTCTGGCTGAATATGAATTAAAGACAATACATTAAGCATAAAAAAAAAGATAATTCAGTCAGAGAGTGCTACCTTCATAGAGCTCTAATATTTGGCAGAGCATGATAACTATTTACTGTCCTAGTGTTAAAGACCTCTATTCATGTTAGTTTTCTCTCAGTTCGTGCAGTTCAGAAGTGGCATTTTCCCACCTCTTATGGGAAAAGTTCAACTAAAGAAATTAATTCTTTCAAAGATGAAGATCATTATAAACAACAGAATACTCAGAAATTAGTCTCTTTTCTCAAAAAAAAACCCCACTAAACAGTGCTGACATTTCTTAGGGAAAAAAAAAAAAAAAACAAAACAACACAACAAAGAAAGAGTAGGAAAGAACACAAAGATATATTATTTCATCTTTTTATCTGAAACTTATTTAAAGTTCTCCCTCCAGCTCAGAGCCAAGAAACTGAGAAACCAGAAAGCACAATCTGCTCAAAGACCTGTCTCCAAAGCATTTCATTTGTGACTTTCTTGTAGCCTGCCAGAGTGCTCTCATGCATTTGAGTTCAAACTGGCAAACAAACCACCCCACAAAATCTGTAGATGGAACCTACTTGGTTGCCATCACAGTGTTGCCAAAATTATCATAACTGAAAAAGGCTTGAATTCTGCCAAACTAGAAATTTTTTAGTGGAAACATATTCCTCTAAAAAAGTTCAAATCTAGTAACAACACTCACTATCACATTGAAAACCATTCAGGAAGTGTTTTCAATTCAAACAGTTTTGATGTCAAAATCATGCTGCCCACCCAACTTTAACAAGATATTCAGTAAACTCTATCAAAAATTTCTGTAAAAATCACTCCTTGTTTACAGTTTTGTAGATTAGGAGAAAGAGACTGAGAACAATATACAGAAATAGGTGACCTGAAGTGTCACCAAGCAAAAAACCATTATAGACAAGACGAGAACAGTATAATAGAGACCTACAAGATGATAGTTAATTCAGAGTCTATATTTTCAACAACATCTGTTCTTTTAGGTAATTTAGCTCCAGTCTTCTCGATACAGGATGATGAGAAATAATCAAGCTCTATACTTCCATCCGACAAATATAATTCCTCCTCTTGAAGAGATCAATATTTGCACATCTGAAACCTGATATCCCAAACCCCTACTAATTTGTGAAAATGTTCTGACCATCAATAACAAAACTATCAGACTGAAAAGAACTGTGTGTGACGTTTAATGATAATCTCTTTATTACTGAAAAAAAGATGTGCTCTAAAATATTTACCTTGTAACTGAGAAAAGTCTAATGAGTAAGAATTCAGAAAAATGACTGAATTTATCATAGTTGTAAGAATGGCGACTTTTTTTTTTTTAATTTAAGCAACTATTAACAAAGTTCATACCCAAGACATCAGAAAAAAAACTCAGAAAAACAATTTATATAAGGAATAGGCAGATAAATGTAATGGAAAAGGACAAAATTCCCCATGGAGAAAGTTCAGATGCAAGGTTAATTTTTTATCTGCATGAGGTTTGCAGGTAGGTGAAGTTGAAAACTTGAAAAAATCCTCCAAAACAAAAAAGAACACAGGAAAAAGTCATTTCCTACATAAACGTGTGAGGGTTAAATTGTAGAGAGCCAAGGCTTGCAAGGGTCACAGAACAATATCATGTCTGGACATGGCTATATTTAAAAATCACAGTCACTTTCAAGAATTGCAATAGAAAATAAAAATAAAGACTTCTACCACCTCATTCTTTGTGGTGTGTTTTATGTAGTAAACACAGCATTACAAGTATTACATTTTGATTTGCACCTTTATTCAAATCCTTGGTAAATCTTTCATTGTAGAGCTCCCCCTTGAAATTGCTTTCAACTGTCTCTAATCCTTTATGACTCTTAGAAAGAAGCCTGTAATTTTAATTTAAGAGTTTATAATTCACCTAAAACCGTAATTGTACAAAACCAGTTGATGCTTCATGGATTGTATGTCTCAAAGGATATTTGAAAAATACATTTTAGGTCTTAAAAGATTACAGTGAAGATTTTATTTTCTTTTTCTCCTAAAAATATATTAATTGAAATTAAAGGCATTTTTTGTTAAGTTGGCCATTGTCCATTTGGCAGCCAAAGCTTTTATTCAGATACAGAACTCTACATCCAGATTACTATTCTGGTTATAGAGCCAGACCAAAACTGTTAACTTCTTTGGACCCCCATGTCAGAACTACCAGAGTGCTCTCGTGGTTTTAGGTACAATACAATATCTAGAGAGTTAACATCAGTTTTACAGGACTGAACACTCAGCAGTGAGGTTTGAAAAACCCAAACACAGCCTTCCAGCATGATATATCACATAAAATACATAAAAGCAGGAATATACATATTGGTCCTGCTTTGGAAAACCATATGCAGGCAAGTTATTTGTCAGATCTGACATGGTGGTGAGGTAAGAGCCAACACGGCGCCTTTTCTGCCACCAAAAAGTGGGCCTTTATCTGGCCACAAAGTCTGAACAACCATGGCACAGACATCTCATTTCTCTATCTGTTACAAAACCAAAACCCTACAAAACTTATGTGAACTGCGTAATGCATGTGAGAAGTGACTTTTTATTTTAAATCACCATTAACACCAGCTTAGCAATGTATTTAGTGGTTTCAAGAGCTGTCACACAATCCCTTTCCTTCTTAAAACAACCTTTCTTCCATATGGATGCTTATGAGATGCATATGCCAATTTGCTAACTGCTAGGTAAGAAAGAAGTTTTGCGAGCTGGACTACAATTTTCTGCCTCCACAACTGTTCTTCTCCCAAAGCTTCCCCATGTCTACACAAATTGGCCTGTTTGTACAGGCTATTTTTCTTAAGTTCAGTCAGGCTTTTTCACTTGTTTATCCATTTTAAAACACAACAAACTATCCAAATTTAAAATAGTAATTCTAGAAAAGAATCAAGAAAAAAATAATGAAGACCAATACATGTTAGAGTGTTATCCTGACCAAAGAGAATTTTCTCAGTCAAAGCCTAATCGCATTAAAGCTGTTCATACTTGTCTGTAGTAACAGGATCCCACTGTGGCACCAGGCACTGTGCAAGTGTGGATGATTACTCACACATCAGGCAGGATAATGCCTAAATCAGTTTCCCTAAACTGCTGACAATAGTGTAAAGGGTTTGTTTGCATTCAAAGGAACACAATTTGGTAACTGACACTTGGTGCTTGAATGATGGAAAAAAAATTTCAGTCCGAGATGAAGCACCTAGGAGACTACTTCCTCCATGCATGCATGAGGCAAAATCTATATTTCTTCTAACTGGATGGGTTTATTCTTTTATTTGTACTGCTTTCTGCCTGCCCCTTCCCCATGAATTATCTCCCACCGTATGACCAGATCCCATTACAGGGCTGCTATAGCTGAGGCAAAATTTATTAAAAGAAATTTATCTCATGGATGATTGTGTACAGGTGACCAAAGCCACCTTGAAAACAAAGTTATCAACCTGAAGTTTGTTTAAATAATTTGGAGGTCAGATTTTGACTTTACAGATGAAGTACTAGTAAGTCATAAGAATATTTAGCAGACGAATCAATTAGTTGCAAATGCATGCAATTATTTGACACACAATTTCCAGCTACAGAAGCTTCAGGTAACACACCTTTGTAAGACAGTTATGAAATGGAGGTTTTATTTAATACAGAACTCTGCTCTACACATCTGCAGAAAAAAAAAAAAAAAAAAACAACACAACAAAACACACCAACAAAAAACACACCAAACCACAAAAACCGAACCACCACAAAGTCACCTCAACTACTCAGTGCCTTACCACATTTGTCCATGCAAGACTTCTGGAAAGTTGGTAACTGGCAGAGAAAAACATGAGGGCAAGGTGAGGTTAAGGGACTTGACAAAGACTGCATGGAAATTCTGAGAGAGAAGCAGGCTTAGAGCTCTTACAACTAATGCTATTGTTTTAATACCTGACCATCCTTTACTACCAGATTCAGACTGGAATTATTCCATGTGTACTCCCTTATCAGACAAGCTTCTCAGTGATTTTCCTGCTATTTGCAGACAGCAGATACATTTGGAATTTGGATGCTACATGCTTATTTTAAATTGGGGGAGCAAGCTCATGTCATCAATCTTTTTGTCCCTCCCTTGTCTTCTGCCATCCTGTTCTTTCCTCAAACACATGCCTGTCAGCACAGAATCCCAGCACACAGTCCTTCCCACTGCTCAGAAATACTGCCAGTTCCTCTCTTTTCTCTCGAATCCTGCTCTGTCCACACCTCAGTGTATGTTTCTTCTTGCTGAATTACTTGGGAATCACCAGCAGAAATGCTGAAAGCGCTGTGCTTTGTACATATACTTAACTATTTCCACTACTTAACTAATTACCAAAGCACTGCTGAGGTGAGGAGCTGTCCTGGTTTGAGAGAAACAACAGCTATAAATCCATGTCACTGCAGACTATAAAGACAACACAAATACAAAGTAGAAAGAAAGCAAATGAACTCTTAGGCAACCCTTATTGAAAGAAGAGACTAGACATTCTACTTCTAGGGAAAGTACCTCCCAGGAAAACAAACCACAATGGAAAATACTCTCAGAATTCATAACAGGGGGTTGTATCATCTTTTATACAGTCTTTCAAGAGTTCTTCCAGAACTTTTTAGACAGTTGTTTTCTTGTCATCATTTCATGACACAGATAACAGGTGCAGTGTGGGATTTAAAGCACTGGCAAAAGCTTTGATATTCTAAACACTACAAATATCTACAAACAAAAAGTGAAATGGACTTGTGCTATTAGTTTTCTTAACTACCATAAACAAAGAGTTTTCTTTTTAACCATATTACAGTGCAATTTGCAAAAGCACTACAATGCTCTTCCACCAATTTCCAATTCTATTTGTATTTCCTGCTTCAACAGGAGAAAATCTAACCAACCTGATTTTACTGCACGCATGTCAGCAAAAAACACCAGAAAGGTATGTGACCTTCCCCAGAAATTATATGTCAAAGGAATACCACTTTTACAACAGAAAGCTAGAGGGATGATCTCTACCTAATTAAGAAAACGTTTTAGTTTTTAAACAAGTGTGCACAAAGGAAACAGAATTAATTTAAAGGCTGAACTAAAAAAAAAAAGTCTGGGATTTGCCAAACTTCATGATCAAAGTTTGGTCACAACAAATACATTTCTGGGGTTCAAAGTCTTAATAATCAAGGAATATACCATTTGGATTAAATGTGTGCTCAAGGAAAAAAAAGGCTTAAAAAAGCCAACACATTCAAGATGCTAGAGAGCAAAGAGGGTTCAAGTTATTTTGTGGAAATAAAAACAGATTAAATATCTAGAAATAGTTTAATGAGCCATTATATACATGTGGAAGTGTTTCCATTAAATACTTATCTTTAACCACAATCCAACCTCTGCAATGTGTGCACCCTAGTTCTGGCTGGTTATGAAAATAATTTTTTGATGCTTCTTGAACTATGGTTTGCTGAGGCTGGGGAGTGGTATAAGAATCCAAGTTCATCTTCATGCTGTTTTAAAACCCTAACCTTCAAGAAAGAGCTTGATCTATGGGAAACAGCTGCAGAAAAGTAAATCTCCCTTTAAAAAAGTCCAGAATGTACTTTTGTTAAGTAGGTTTTGAAGTCATGGTAGAAAAATTAGTGAAAATTGTAAATCTGCTTGCAAACCTGGTCATGTCTAACTCAGAGATTAGGAGAAAGATTCCGATTTAATAAGAAGACCATGACAATCCTAGTTAAGCATGCTCTAGGACAGAGCAGATGGGGCCTCCGCTCACCTCCACGCGTTCTCGATTTATTGCATGCACCCAAAACGTTTCATATTAGACACCCCTTGGCTGTGTACCTGAGACAGCAGGGTTCAGTATGCACTTCCTCTGCAGACCAATATATTACTCTAAATTGAGCTAAAGTGTTTCCACCTCATGAGTGATATAAAATTCAGATTTGAGTTTTTAGGCAGCAGATTTGCAGTCATCCACCAGATTTTTTTTATTAGGAAAAATAAGCCTTAAAAATAATAATTAAAAAAAAAAATCTGTCTTGCTGAAAGTAATTTTGAAGCTTGTTCAGTTTGGTTTAAAGCAAGTAAAGTTATTGTAACAGACCACTTGAAGAATTGATTTGATCACCTCACATTTAGTACTAACATACATTTAAATTATGGCTTATTATTTCATCTGATGAGGACTGCTGAGTAATGGAGGTGTAAATTTATATTTTAAGACACCATTTTACTAAAATTCTACCCAGAATAACAGAAAACATTTTACAGAGACAATGACGAGAGTAATGTAAAAATTATAAAAGGTCTACTAGAAATGCTAAAACCTACCCCTAATCTTTTTGTTACTTTGATAAAGCCATTGATCAAGATTTACAAGTTACTGCAACTGCACATTACTATTAGAAAAATCAAGGTAACACATTTTCTTATCTAAGATTTTTGTGAACAGTATTAGAAAATAGTTGGGGTATTACAGGTACAAGAACTGATAGGACTTTGTCAGATGCTGGAAGCACAAACAAGCCCAAATCACAAAAACCAGACACTGCAAACATAGGCCTGGTGCCAGGGCAGTCACAGGGGCTGGGTGAAGATTCGGTGGTCTGGGTACTAGATGCCTGGATAAGGAACATGGTGGAATGCAGCGGAGGCTGCTTGCCCCATCTTCTCACCTATCTCACAACGGCAGTGGTCTGCTCCCTGCAAATGCAGATGCAGGTGGAGATAAGGGAGTTTCATGCTGATTACACGGAACAATTGTCTACCCACAGCCCCATCCCCACACTTTACACACCAATAACAGAAAAAAGGTATAAGTGTCATCCCTTTTTGGACCCAGTTTGTGGGACGAGAATTCGGCACCAAGTCGTAGGGACTGACTGACGGGTTTGTCCGCCTCGCCCCTCCCCAGCAGGGACGCCTTTGGGTAAGAGTTGCGGCCTGGCTCTGCCGAGTGATTTTCCCCGGGAGATTATTATTATTATTGTAATTGCAATTGCATTTTTAGAGCTATATAGCTATTCTGCAGCTTAGTGTTATTTATCACCGGCAATCACAAAGAACCTGTATGTGGGGTGTCACGAACCCGTGCTATTCGTGAATCCGACGGCTTCTGTTGAATGCAGCCAGACCTACAGCACCAGGCTGTTCGTGCATCTGGTGTCGGATCTATAGCCACGGCCGTAAGTGGAACCTATTGAGAGACAAGTTCAGCCGCCCCTAGTCCCTCTAATATCTGAGGACCGGCTAGAAAGCAAGGGGATTGGTCTCTTACCAAATTTGTCTCTCCCTTACCCACACCTACCCCCTTCCCTTCACACGACAGACTTGTCCTTGTAATTATAAACAACATACTGAATTTGACATTTCAGTGTTTTATGGCATTCACATAAAGCAATAAGTACTACACCATTTCAGCAAGTAAAACAGACCTACAGAGTTACTAAGGTTTTTGCCAAAACTGGATGAAAAACCTAATAAAAGGGTGAGTTTAAGAATACTCAGAGTATATAAAGTATTTTTTTTAAGAGTAATTGAGGAAAAAACCCAAAGGCTATGGAAATGCAAAAGAGATAATCAGACATCTTATGATCTGGTAACTACAGTCTACTACAAGTAACTACTTATCAGCTACAATCTACAGCATTTTACAATACAAATACCTAAGCCAGACCCCTTCTCTTATTAACTGCCTTCTGAACCTGTTGCCCAGCAAAGCCGGACAGTTTCCAGTCAGGAAGGTTTAGATACGAAGTTTAAATCTCAAATTGCTATTGCAAAAAACAAAAATGGATTAAAAATTCCCTTTCTAGGAACGTTTAGTTGCCATTTAAACTTCACTTCCCTATAAGAAATGTCTCCATTTCCCTCCTGGCTGTTATTCTATATCCTCACAAATACAGAAAAGAGAGGCACAACCACACCACTGTGCCAAAGGATCTCACACGATGAACACTTGATCTGTTCACGTCTGAACCTACTTAAGAGCATAGACAAAATAGACAGTGTAAAGGATTTGATGAGGAATGGTATATGCTTTTTAAGCTTGCGTACAAATGTATTGCTTGTAAGTAAATTGTTTCCATATTTGTTGGAAGATAAAAGTGAAAGGTAAAGTGAAAAGACTGTTCAGCCCAACAAGTTGGCAGTGTGACAGGTCACTAGGGACGTTTCATAGAGTCTGCCTCCCGAGTCACAAACACAAACTGGGAACGCTGCAAATGCTCTCACTCTTTGAGGATGATGTCTGTCGAGCCAAGTCACTAAACAGGAGGCAAACATTGTCAGAAGTGTTGTTCATGCTTTGAGTTGTGTGATTTATAACTAAATTTCTTTAAACAACAATAACCAAGAGAAACACAAACAAGACAAAGCAACAGACTGTGTCAACAAACCTTAGCCACAGTTATCGCTTTGTTTCTTTCAATGGAAAAACCTTAGTGTGTGAGCTCAGCTGCTCAAGTAAATTAACTCAGTTTTCTTTTTTGTATCCTCCACACCTGAGACATCGAGACTCTCTTGGAATAGAACAGCTCTGTTCATTACAATCTTAGTCTAATCCCACTACTAGAAAATAGCGTGTTTGAATATACACACAGACAAATACAGCAGGAGAAGCTTCATGTCTAAAACTAGTGACCAATAGAACAACTACAGATAGGCATAATGGTTGAAATTTCAAGAACCAGGGAACCAGAAAACTTTAGGACTGCTACAGTGTCTCCATTTAAAGGGGCAGGGCAGGACCCCACAGAGCAGAATTTGTGCTCCCCCTCCCTATCCCTTAGGTTTCCCTAGAGGAGAGATAAACAAGGGAAGTCAGAAGTAAGAGAGACTTTGCACTGATTAGAAGTTAATAAAAATAAAGTATTGTTTATCAGGGAACAGAAAGCAAGAAAGGAGGTAGATAGATATATAGAGAGAGATACACATATATATATACATACACATACAAAGATGGGAGGAAAAGAAAGTAAACACAAGCTATACAAAACTCAATCTCGGTTGGTGCAGGATTGCTGGGAACCACGTGGATGGAGGCCCCGCTGTGCTCTCCCCCAAGGGGCTGGAGCACCCACTTCCTGACTCTTTCATAGAGTGTGGAAGAGGAAGGGAGAGGGAAAAATCACTTCCCCCTGGGACCCTCCAGGTCCTGGCTGTCACCTGTCCTGCCCCCCAAGCCTCAAACCACAACATACAGTCGCAGCTCATACAATACTTACCAATTCTATAAGCCAAAGGAATTTTTTTTGTTGAATACAACAGATGCAGATGTTCACAGTTACTCAGTATACCTCATTAAAAACAGAAAACGGAATCAACATCTACAAAAACCAGAATGGGACAGATACTGCTCAACTTCTCACAAGATCTGAGGAAATCGTGCTTATGGCCTGAAGCCCAAGAGGGTCTAGGAATTCAGCCTGCACAACAGAGAGAAACGGCTCAGAAAGAATACTTCCTTTCTTAGCTGTGAAGTCAGAAAAACATCAGGAAAAAAGTAGTTCCCCAAAATACACTGGAAATGGGCAGGATAGAAGGATTTTATTATACACTCTAGCCAGATTGAATGTGTTTCTAAATGAGGAAAGTCCCAACTGAAAGGAAGATATGACAACTGATATTAAAATAAATGTAATCTTCTCTATTTTCAACAGAAAGTTCACCTTCTTAGCCCTTAAAAATTACCAAGCATCAAGTAGCAGTCTCCTTGGTGAAGTGGTATTGCTAATCCAGGTGTCTCTATGTCCCATGCCACCTTCAAGCCTACGTGCCAAACAGCTGGGTCTCTTCCCTTCAGCTTTTCTTCATTACTTTCTTCCATGGCTGGACCTTAAAAGAGATGGAGGGAAAAACACCACAGAGACATCAGACAAAGTGAGAAGAATGACATACAAAATCTGATTTAACAATACAGACTTAATGATATCCTACACTGGTAAAACCTTAATAGGCTTAAACTTTCTATAATCTTTATTTGGTATAATCACCCTCTCCAAATTCAAGAGCATCTAATAGGGGAGGTGAAAAAAAAAAAAAAAGTCAAAAGAGCCATGAGATCAAGAAATTTTGCAACCAACTTCCAACTTTACTAAGATGAAAACTTCATGTTAACTACAATGAAAACACAAACGAGGCAAAGTTTGTAATGTACTTGAGTTTTTCTGAAGTTCAAGTACATGTAACAGGAGTTTCAGTTACTCTTCACTCTTAATTTGTTTTTTAAGTCACTAAAACTGTAAGTGTAAAAAAAATGCAGCAACACTGATATATGTGTATATATATACATATATATAAAAAAAAAATAGATAACTTCTGATGAAAGTTATTTCTTTCTTCAAACTTTCTTAAAGTTGAGCTGAAAGAACTTCAGCTCAAACTGCCAAAGCATTTTATGAACAATTTCATTTGTTTACGTATTTGCAATTTCACCAAATCATAAACGTAAGCAGAGCAAGGTGAAATAAAGGACACAAACCACAACCTAGACCAAAGTTGAATGAATCCTGGAATCACATCCGGCTTTCCTTCCTCAAAATTATTAGTCAAACACGCCAGACAATATGTGTAAGAGCCAACAAAGCTTCAATACATTTGTCACAACATTTTTCTCATCATTAAGCAACATGAATGTCTTGAGCTTGGGGAAAAAATAATCCACTGCACAGAAATAGTATTTACAGCTTAATCCCTCAGAACTATTTTCATAAGCATACTTCGTTGCAGTATAAATTGAACGATACAGTCAGCATTTATAACAAGGTATTTGGTAGCTATAGTATAACAGTTTTATAGCTAAAGTAACAGAGCATTTTGACAGAGGGAGGATAGAGTTTTAATAAGCAGTTGGCACAGAACAGCAGCGAACAGTCAGAAATCATCAGCCATGTAGCATGGCTAATGATTGCTTCTAAGTGAGTAACTGCGTGCTTCCCACTCTCCATCTCAAATACGCCTTCATGTGAAATTTTTTAGAACTTTTGTCTACATTTAGTTCTAGAATAAAAATACTAAAGATTTTTAACTCTTACTATAATGTACACAGGTAAAAAGTGACCTTGAACTCACAACTTTCAAAATGTTTATGTCATTCATCTCACAGGGTTCCTGCAATGTTTGCTTAGTTCAGAGCAGCCTTTAATAATGAATAAATTGTCTTAATTTGCCATGTCAATTTGATACTGCCTAAATTCAGGAAGCAGGGAGCCAAAAACCTTTTAAAAAGCCTATCTCAAGTTCTTACTTAAAACTCCTACTGTAAATTGAGTCCCTGTACTCCCTCCCTTCACTGCTGCAGCTCTCATCCAGCTGAAGCTTTGGCTCAGGAGCAGCTCTGGGCTTTTCTATCAAGGAGCACACAAATGAGAAAACAAGAGCTAGCAAACACTCAGAAAAATCAATACTAAAGTCTTCAAGGGGCTTTCATATTTTCTGCCCTGTTCAGATAAATTGTAACTTAATTTAAGAAAAATGTTTTCTGAAAACTGCAAATAGGATGGCTTTCAAGGCATTTTTAATGCAATACATCATGGATATTATAAAAAGAGGTAACCTTTCTGGGTTAACTCTCTCTGTTATGCTGCTTTCCCATTCACTTTGGCAGCAGCACTGTGCACAATATGGCACCAATAAAATATAGAACTACAATCAGAGACAGCAATTTCAATCAAAGTTTCCTGGGGTCTCCTCATAAATCCAGCACCTTTGGAATGTGCTCGTTAAAATGACTTATTTTTTGCAGTTTGATAAATTTTTTATTGCTTAAGTACAGAGTTCAAATGTAGCTCACAGTCTCCTTTTCTCTATATTCTCAATTATAGCACCTTATAATTATCAGCAGCAATTGAAACTGATTGCTCCTACCATGTTATTTTGGTAACAAATGGAAGCAAGCTGCTACTAGCTTTTAAATGCAAGCTCTTCTGAAAGTGAGAGCAAGAAAAAAAAAAAAAAAAAGACCCCTTAACATCTGTGGTTATCTTTAGGTAGCACTGACAAACTTTTACATAAAAAGAAGTAGTTATTAAATTCTCTATCACACCTCAAGCATGACTGAATGCTGTGCATTCTCTGATATAATTACAGTTCTCATTTATGTGAAAACGTTTGGATGCATCTAAACCATAAGTATTTGAGAGCTAATCACATGGACCTTCCACATACACAGCACTTTAAGAACATGTATTTATTTTGAAGCAGACCATACAGAAATGGCCAAATGTAGCAGTGTTGAACATAATAAAACTATCTGCAAATCTGAATTCTGTTCATTAAGGATTCATAGAATTTAGTCTGCAAGAAATCTACACATTTGCATCCCAAACGAGAAATGATGAAACCAGATAACAAGTTCACCACAACACAACAATACCTCATCAAACCTGTAATTAAAGTAGAACCATGAAAGAGAGAATGTAGCTACAGAAAACTGACCACAACATTATGCTTCTAACTCGACAGCTCAAATTTCAGAGATGTTCCAGCTCTAAGACCCGATCTTATCAGGTCTAGGTCATGGTTAGGTTCAGAACAACATGAAACTTGTTTTCCTGGATCTAGTCTGGTTATTGTTCCACAGCACAGAAAGTAAAAGTAGCCTGGAAAAACTTCTTCACTATTCAGCACTAAAATCTTCAAGAAGAGTTTGAGATTTCTTTTGACACTGTGAAACATGAAAGTTCTCTCTTTCATTGTACAAAGTCAAATTGCAATGTCAAACTAGATCCTAAACGTAATCCTAAATCAAATGTGATTTCTTAGACAACAAAACCATTGCCAACTCACTGCTAAGAACAGGAGGACTATAAACATCTATTTTGTCATTAAATCCAGCTGACCAGTGTTATATAGATACAGAAAAAATGATTATTTTTTTTATATAGATTGATTTTTCCAGAATTTAAAATAATTTGGGCATGTGTTCAGCAATTAATTAACTGTATCATTATTACTGTCTCCCACAGCAGTTTATATATGTTATATGCAAGAAGTGAACAAAACAGAGCATGGTTTGCTTTTCAGCAGCTGGTGGGAAAGGATGAGCATTGACCTACAGTTATTTCTTCTACCTTGTTACTGAAAAGCCATAGCATAAGCTAAGGTTAATCAAACTGTACTAACATTTTGACTTTCACTTGCACCAGACATTCACAAAAACAAAAACTGGAAGATCTGTCAACGTTGTTTTTAGCAATTCATAGTTAGAACACTGTGTCCAAATATAACAAGAACAGCATTAAAACAAGAACAAGGAGTATTTTGTCATCCCTTAATTCTTGAAGGAGATACTAATTTGATCAAATCAGTGAGAGCACAGTTAAAAACCCCATAACTCTCAAGAGTTAATTCAAAAGAAGATTTCTTTTCAGAAAACATGGATTCAATTCTATTATTATAAAGAGTACTTGGACACTAAATATTTGTGATTCTCCAAGAATAGAATTCCAACTGGCCAGAACCTACAAGCTACAGATATGACCATTTCACTCACATTTTCATTTTCTACAAAACATTTCTCTTCTTTCAACAAACAATATTTGTACTGCATTATTGACATTAGAAACAACTTAATATAAATGTTCTTATCCTGTACAAACATCTACTCCATGACTTTTATCTGCTAAGCATCACATAAAGAGGATTATTGGTCAACTACAAATTCAGATTGACTGCCATTCCAAAAAACTTTCGTAGTTTCATATTTTCTTAACCTAGTGAGGAAACACACCTGTAGTGAAACTCAATCATTATTCTTCACAATTACTGTAGAAACGAAATAACTATCATGAGGATACTGCTAGAGTAGTGCTCCTAACATCAGTGTTAAAAAACACAATCACAGCACTTTACAGAAGAAACAAGCATTGCAAGTTCCTTCAAGATCAGTCATTACTGCAACTAACTCTCTAAGTTTGTTAAACCTTTCACCATCACCTTGTCAGTGAACAGAGCCACTTGTTTAGTGCTTCAGAAGATTTACACAGAAAGCAGGCCTTACAGCAAGAAAACAAACAAGATACTCTAAAGAATCTAGAGAAAACTACTTATCAAGCCCTAAACACAGTTTTTTGGAAATCCAAGTAAGAGGAGGATGGACACTTTCAGTGACCACATTTATTTCCATCTCCTTTGAGCCAGTAACTGAAACGAGTCTCCACTTCAAAGAGCGTCTTTCGAACCAACTAGTGTTCTGCTAAGCAATAAAACTTCCTACAAAACTTCTGAAGACCTTAGGGAAAACTGCTCATTAGGAAATTTTCATGGATAAAACCCAGTTTTTGCAAATGCCCTTATACCACCACTATTTAGATTGCAATTCCCTTTTATAAATAGAGCAGGAAATAAAAATGGGTTATTAGATGACTACATTAAAATCCTGAACAAGTTTTTACTTTAGTGCTCTCATGTGATAGGATATTTGTAAGCTAATGTGTAATTAAAAATCATAAATTGGTCAAAATTTGCAATTCCTGTTCCATGGCAAATTCTGAAAAGTAAATGAATTCTGAACAGTGTTAGTGGCAGTATAATTGAACACACGTGCTGTAATGCATTCAGTTCTGCATATGCACCATGACAACCACTCATGCACTTCTACGCAGTATACACATTAAAGGGAAATTTCCAAATTATTGTGAGGGCCTGTTCTTATCACTTGACAACCTACTTTTAATCTAGTGTAATATAAAAAAATTTACTTTAATGTAAATAAAAGCAAGTACTCTTCATATGAACACTAAAGAAAAAGTCTATCTTATTTTGTTGTTAAAAATGTACCTCACTGGAAGTTGCTTTGAACCAGTTTGAGACTGGAAACAAACAAAAAAAAGAACACTGATACTAATTAGACTATCACCTTGTTCCAATATCTTTATGTTAGTTCACAAATTTCTCTCCTGGCATAATAAAAACTAATTCTACTCCAATTAATACTGATCAAAGTTTCAGATATTAAATTTTCATTATGGCATCAAACACCAAAGAAGAGAACAAGAGAATAGTCATTTCAATTACAGTAGTATCTGTTTTAATACTATTTAATAAAATAAGTAGGTACCAAACAAATAAAAATATAAAAATGCAAATTCAAGTAAAAAGAAAACCATATAACCCAAGTTGTGCACCTCTAAATAGTCCAGAAAATGGTTGCTGTAACAGAGCAAGACTGCTTGACTCCAAGGGCTCCTGCCGTCCAAAATCTGGAATCCCATGGGTTCTGTCTTTGTGGCAGGATAGACTGGCACTAGTCATGAAATTCTCAAAGTCTCAGCTTGCTCAGGCTGTGGGGCTCCCACAGATCTTCAGCGTGTATGGGATCACAGACATCAGTCAGAATTTGAGGAATAGAGAACTGACCAAAAAAATGTACCAAATCCAGGAAAAAAAGAGAACCAAGCTAGTTTTAACAAAAATCAACATGCTTAATGTGCATCTCAATTTCTTACACAAGCAGTGTTTTCTCCCAGAAAATAATTAATCCATCTAATTGACATCTTCTAAGGAAAAACTGTTCCATCAAAAAAATTTCTGACCACCCTAACTCTTTTTATTAGATACTCTGGAACGGTTCTGTGATCACTGTAGTCTTTATACACTACGGTGAGAATTCAGTAATAACTCAATACTGAATGAACTAACAGTAAGTTCTCAAAAGATACTGGCATAAAAAGTAAATATGTTGATGAAAAATGGGAAGAGGAGTCAAGATACGATTCTACAAAGATTTAACAACCATCTTCAAAAGTATATGGAGTTTCCTTAAGCTTCACAGTTATGGAGAGGTTGGTAAGAGATATGGTAAATATTGAGAGTCATTGTGAACTGCAGAAACCACCAACACATTGAAGTGATATGGAATTAGAAAGACCGATGCTACAAGCACTTATAATTTATAACCAGCAGCATTTGAAAGCTATAAACAGGAAATCAGAAGAGCAAACCAATCTTTTTATTTATCTAAATCAAGCAGATAAATTACTGTTGGATGAGCTGGGTAGAAGACTCCAACATACACAAGAATTTACTGTCACTGTAATTATAATACCATATTCATAAGCTACAAACAGTTTAAATTTCCTCCACTTTATGAATAAGAAGGCCAACTATAGATATGGCTTCACTTCAGGGATATACACTGACAACCACAAGCTGAACACCGACAGATGTCAGAGAATTATTTCCACATAAAGTTATAGTACGGGACATTTACTCAAGGTGCTCACAGCCATGCTAGGCACCTTAAGCTTCTGCTGACATTAATGAAACCAACTTCAGCCACGCTCAAGAGCTGTCAAGTGGAACTCAACATTGTTCAAATTTAGATCTGACTTCATAAAAAATTTTCTTTCCCCCAAAAAGCATCTTTTACACTACCTAAGTTTTTAATAACACCACCTCCTGACAAAGAGATTTCCCCCTAATATATAAACAAACACTGATTTCATCAAAACCTTTTAGAAGCGCTGCCAAAATACAAACATTTTAAGTCATATTTTTTTTATTTGTTTTTAAAGTAAATGATAGAATGATCAATTTATTCACTGGAAAGCTCCTAGCTTTTTAAAGTTTTCATGTTCATTTTTAAGTCCTTCAGGAGAAAGACAATTTAACTCTAAGCGCCTTCACAAAAAAATCTTCTATGTGGCAAAAGCATTAAATATGTACATATATCAAAATATTCTTTAGTCAAGTACATAAATATTTCTTTCTACCCTTCTAAATCAAATATTGCATAGAATTTGCAGTAGTTTTAAAACGACATAAATGTTACCTATCTTGCTTGCTGAACTTAAGAACTAAAGTGCACCACAAGCAAGCTTTTGGTAAACTAAAAAGTTTAAGTATATTACAATAAATTCTCACACACATTAGTATTACTTCAAGTTCATGTTTACGTTACTTTAATGTAAAATGTTACTGAAAAATTATTTATCTATAGTACAATTAATAAAAAAAATAAATTACTGGACATAAAATATCAATGTCTTTGGCAAGGAGGACAGAAAAAAAGTCCATGAAGAAAACGACACTTCTGCTGGTCAGGGAATCTATTCTGTTTGCCAAGCCAGCTGATATTTTATGTCCAGGAAAATGTAAATATGATGATTTCAGCTGAACACTAAGCAACAGTGAGACCCACAGCTCCAAATCTAAGAATAAAACTAGTAAGAGAATGCACATGTAAGTATAAACTGTAATTTTTACATCACGGTCTTTAGCCAAAACCTATCAAATTCAATGTGGATTCGTCCTATGTTTTGAAGCAGTGAGCAAAGGAGGAAGAACCAAAAATCATTTGTGAATTACAAAACTTATCAGAGCATCTGCAAATTCAGATAAGTGTCTAAACTCTCATCTTCTGTTTGCAAAACTGGAAGCCATGAAAAAAAAAAAAACAAGGCTTTGTTCAAATATTGTTAGGGAAAAAAAATAAACAAAAATTCTCATGTCTGCTCTTAAATAAAGATAAATATGGGAAAGGTACTTTAAAGCAAATACAAAATATTTAATGACTCTTCAACTATGCTTTTTTTCCCTGTAATATTGCATGTAAGTGTTTTTTAAATAACTGAGAGCCTGCAAAGCCTGACAGACAACAGGTCTTTTAACAGAAAACTTCCAGCCTTCCTACCTACAGAAACACTGGCAAGTCCTCCACAAAACATGCATTAGCAGGACAGCATGTCTAGACAAAATATATATACTTCCAAGTAAATACAGTAATACTTTTATACAAAACCAACCTAAAAGGATCTTTCCAAAGAAAGAAACAAGTCTGCATATGATAAATAACACAATAAAGAAGGTGATCCCAACTACAATTATACATTTTACAGGACAGAAAATATGGACATGCTTTAACCTGAAATAGGTATTTGACAGATTTTGATTTCCTGGCTCCTAGTCAGGAAGTTAATCATACTAATTTTTCAATCTACTTAGAGAACAACTGATAGGCCAGCTGCAGTAAACAAGGGTATATTTTGTACAGGTTTTAGTAGAAATAAAGATAGGGCTTATATACAAAAAGAACCACAAAGTACTCAGAAGCACGTGACAAATCTAGACTAGCATGCAGGTGTGCTTATACATGTACACACAAGGAAACATGAAAGAGCTTCAGGGATTTTAAGATATTTATATCATTAGTCAACACATACCTCCCATCACTCACCTTCACAGCTGTAACTGTACACAGCAACTGTTGACCTTTCAACCAGATTCTCATCATGGTGCCAGCTCACTGCCATGTTCCCCATTCCAAAATAAGGTTCTTGCTTCAAGCACAACATTTGTAGTGGATCCATATAATTTAATAAAGTCACATTGTATGATGTTCTGTTCTCTAGACTTATGTATTCATCCTCTGGTACGCTACAACTGCTTGGATCCTTTGAAACAGACTCTTTCTCCATAAGAGAAGTAGCAAAATTTTGCTCCCTATCTATTACAGTAGTATCTTTAATTCCTTTGGCCTCAAGGAAATTTTGTCCTTGTAATGCCTTGACTGCTTCAATATGCAAGTACTCATTAAGTCTGATTAATGCTTTACAAGCATCATGTATTTGAGGACTGCAATATTTTATATCATAACCTTCAGTAGGCCAAGGAACTGTAAATAATCTTGTGTTTAAGTACTTGTAAGTGCATCCCGGGTTTCCAATTAATATACGAGACACTGGGGTAAGAAAATCTTTTCCTTTGATCCTTACAAGATCTTGAAAGAAACAATCATGTTTTCGTAAGGTCAGAAAGCTTTCTTGTACTATTTGATGGAGCTCGTCAGGTATTGTATCAGATTTTCTGAAAATCAGCTTGGAATATTTGGTCTTCCACTAAAGGAGAGAGAGAAAAGGGAAAAAAAACCCGCTAAATTGGCAAGTTATCAGATGACTCTAGAATATGGTGAAGAAACAGATGTCAGTATTCGTTACTTTATTTTCATATTCCAATATATTGCATAAACTGTGGGCAGTACCAGTGGCCTATAACCCAAGGGTATCACCAGGGCAAATTTCTAAATAAATAAATCTGAGGATTCTGGCAGAAATCAATAGAACATATAAGTTCCCTTGATGAATCTATTGATAATGCTACCTTTAAGTACACAAAGAATAGAATACGGAGCAGTAACAAAGCAACTCCTCTTTTTGCCATGGTTGAAAAGACCATTCTGTCTCATTCTGATGTACAGAATTCTAAAGGGCTATATGATAAACTGAAATAGTTTTATATAATAACAGTTTTTAGGGCAAAAATAACAAAATGACAATGCAAAATTTCCAAAGAGGCCAACATTCTGCTGCACAGCACCTCTGTCTTCAAACTAGTCCTTAACATACTGGTCCTTTCTATTTTCACATTCTTTAATGCATACCATTAAGATCTCCTATTTTATATAAAAGTTCCCCTTTCAGATAAAAGAAAATTTCTAAACTTACTTGCTTCCCCATCTCCCCACCTGTAATGACGCTTTTTCCTCATATCCTCTTCTGACCACACCAGCTCTGGTATCAGCTGGAGTTCAGAACCCAGCAGTGCACAGAGGCAACAACTGCCAGCAAGGTATCAAGCTGCTGATCAGCAGTGTCTTGCTTTGTATGCAAAATACTGCTTCTCACTCCAGGAAAGGCTGGGATAATTTTATTTTGTTAATCTGGTTTTCTAAGGAAATATCACATAATCACAGCTTTTATTGGTTGCCTGTAAATCTGCTTTAACTACTGCTGAGACTGTTTGGCAAACTGGACAAAGGCTAGAGAATAAGTTCATAAACAGACTCAGTTCCTATGAATTTCATTTAAACTTACAGATAAATAACAGAAATATATGCAAATGACTGCCCTTAGCAAGGGAAAGGTGTCATTTGAGCTTATCAGTTAGTACATGTGAAGCTCCGAACAACTCACTACATCTATTTTGTTTTGTTCAAAAGTCACTAGTCTGGGCAAAAGGTAGGTGCTGATAGGGCTGAGGGGGAAAAAAAACCAACTGAAATCTGAAGGCATCAGGCAATGGGGCAACATAGCCCACTGGATGCACAAAACTCATCTTTCAAAACTTTTACTAATGTAAACAGGTTACGTTCAAAGTGCTTTTAAATAACAAATTAAAAAACATAAAAGCATCACATTGACCTATGATCTATCTGTGGGCTCCTTCTCACACAACTCAAAACCGCTTTACTAGTATTATCTACTTCCAAGTCAGGTTTGAACCTGCGTTTTGGGAAATTAATTTTGAAATCCAGATAAGATGCCTGTAGGAAAAATAAAACAAAACAAAACCCCCACAAACCAGGCAGAGTGTCAGTATGCACTTTTTCTACTGCATGAGAGCAATTAAGACTTTTGCATTATAACATGTTGTCATCTTACAACACTGAAGAGGTGGTTTTATAGGATCATTTGTTCCTACTAAAAAGAGAATATAAAAAAAAATCTTTTAAAAAACAGTGATTACGCATTATCAGTCTTAGTTATCAATAAAGATTGCCACCGTCTCTTGTGCATTTTTACAGAGAAACTATGTCACTTTCTTTACATATTTTTACAGTTGCCAAAACTTAGCTTTCTAGAAAGAGGAAAGAAAAAACATAAGTGTACTTTTCTGTTGTCAGATAATTTCTGACAACAATATTTACGTACTTCACGTTAAATAGTAAACCTTGAAAACAGCCACAGGTTTTTGTTTGAAGGTCTCTCTACAACCCCCAGCACACAACACCGGATCCTAGCTTTCTTTAAAAGAACTAAATGTAAACTTCATAAATCTAATTCGCCTGAGCTTGCCAAAAGCCTGAAACAATTCCTTTAGAGATCCCAAACTGACCCCTTTGCTGCACTCAGTGCTTTGTATCTACAGCCTTTGAACAGTACAGTGAAAAAATCCTTATAAAGAATATAAAGGTATATAAAGAATGCTACTGAATATATAAAGACTATATATTTTATATATA